TACATACATGAAAAGCCTGGGAAAAGTGTAGAGGATATACTCCATCTAGTAAATGAAACTAGTTACTGCCCACTTCTGGTAGTGTGTGTCTGTGTGGAACACCAGAGTGGGTGAGCTGCCCAGGCCAGGGTTCACCTGGCGCAGAGCGGCCTGAAGCCCATTATGCTCATGCAGCCTGATGGAGGTGTGCTTTGCCAACTTGGCAGTGTCCCGGTTTCCAAGTCACACCCTGAAAAACACACAAACACACAGTGTGCTCAGAACACACAGAATGCAGAGAGGTGTTTGGGAGTGAGGGAGGAGATGGGCAGCAGCTCAGCAAATCAAAGGCTCTCTCTCTTTCTGTTTGTGTGTGTTTGGTGGGGGAGTGAAGTGAGGACAACTAGGGCAACAAACTCGCTGACTCGTGCTTCTCAGGTCACCCAGTGTGAAGCGGCTGTGTGTTGCTCTCTGTAGAAACATCTGTGCTTTATGTTTACACATATTTAACTTTCACTCTGGGAGACGCAAGGCCGGAGAGGCTCTATTTATGATCCCTGGCTTATAAATGCCCTTCTTATCGGCTCAAAGATTCACACAAACTGGCATGCACAGTGCATCCAGTCTGCTTTATGTGTTTGAAATACTTTAGCATAAGAAAACCTTCTATCATTCCATCTGATTTTTTTTTTTTACAATGTTTAAAAACACCAGCTGCCATTCACATTGTGTAAACATTTAATGTTCTTTAAAGTTACATTAACAAATGCTAAGAATGTGTTTTGCCTTTTCCTATAAAGTTAGCATTTCAGCTATACAAGGTTTTCAAACAAACTGATGCACTGTGATTTCATCCTGTATTTGTAATTGTAACTGACTATATGAGTGGCATACTGAACTACATAGAAGTTTTGATCACAGCCCAAAGCTATCAGATTGGGGTCACTTTGCAGTTAGAGTGTTAATTTCTTTCACAATTAAATTGTTGAGATGTAAACAAAATCATTTAGAGTGGTTTAATGTGAAAGGGTGAAATGGAGAGACATATTTCTTTATGGTGGTTGTGACAGGAACCAGGGGTCACAATGACTACAATTAGGCCTGTGCCTGTCGACAGTTAATCAAGTTGTCGTAGTAACAGCCCCTAGTGACAGTAACACCTCATTTACCACCAGTTAAACAGTGTTCATTTATTTCTTTATTTTTGTGCAAACCATAACAAAACAGTAGTATTCCCAGACATAAACATAACTTTTACACATTGTGATGTCCTACATTAATATCACATTTATTGTACCTAACCTACAATCCCAAATCAGACAAAGTTGGGACGGTGTCGAAAATGCAAATAACAAAAGAAAGCAGTGATTTCTAAAATTTACTTTGACTTATATTTAATTGCAGATAGCATGAGCACAAGATATTTCATGTTTTGTCATCCATTCTTGCCATTCAGGCCAAAAAATTTGAGATGGGGCAATTTAGGGCTAGTAATCTAAGAAAGGCCTAGCCCTTTAGGAACAAAGATGGGATGAGGATTGCTAGTTTACCAACAATCAAAGAAAGTCAGGAAGGGATTTGGTTATTTCACCCTCAACACTGCATAACATAGTCAAAAGATTCAAGGAATCTGGAGGAATTTCAGTGCAAAAATGGCAAGGGTGCAAGCCTAAGCTGAATAACTGTACTCTCTCATCCCTCAGATGACACTGCATCAAGAACCATCATGGTACCCACATGGGCTCAGGATTACTTTGGCAAACTTTTGTCCAGCACTACAATATGTAGTTATATCCACAAATGCCAGTTAAAACTTCACTGTGTCAACATGAAAGCCTTATGTTAACCGTGTCCACAAGCACCATCGACTTCTTTGGGCTTGGAGGCATCTAGGATGGTTGAGGACCATCACACAGTGGAAATGTGTGTTGTGGTCAGACAAATGAGTATTTCAGGTCTTTACTGGAAGAAATGGATGCTGTGTGCTCCGGACCAAAGACGAAAAGGACTATCTAGGCTGTTATGAGCAACAACTCACAAGCCATGGTCTGTCATGGTATGGGGTTGTGTCAGTGCCCTTGGCAAAGGTAACTTACACTTCTGTAATGGCACCATTAATGCTGAATAGTACATAGAGATTTTGGAGCAACATATGGCGCCTTCAAGATGACATCTTTTTCAGGGACGCACATGCATTTTCAAGAAGACAATGCAAAACTACATTCTGCCCACATTACAAAGGCAAGGCTATGGAATAAGAGGGTGCAGGTGCTGGACTGTCAGCAGTCCCAACTTGTCCCTAACAGAGAATGTATGGCACCATTTAAAACACAAAATGCAACAATGAAGACCCTATATTATTGCACACCTCAAAACTTGTTTGCAGGAAGAATGGGGCAGAATTACACCTAAAATGCTTCATCTCTTAGTATCTTCAGTCCCTAAATGTGTTGTGAAATAAATGGCATCATTACAAAGTGGTAAATGCTTTGCTGTCCCAACTTGTTTGAAATATGTTGCAAGAATCAAAATTGAAATATGTTTATTTTGGAAAAAAAAAATCATAAGGTAAACATCAAATAATGTGCTGTTGTCTTCAATGTAATACAGGTCAAAAATGATTTACAAATCACAGTTTTCAGTTTTAATTTAACATACCGTCCCAACTTTTTCTGATTTGGGGTTATAGAATAGATTGTTCTAAAATAGCAGCTGCACTGCCTCAGGTGAAATGGCTTCAGAGAACAAGGTAAAGGGCTCAGCTAAGTGGACACAAACTCTGAGATGGTAAAATTCATGTGACATTCACAATACAGTTTCACGGCTAAAAGAAAGATACAGCATATCACAAACACAACTAAAGTGTGCTTTATTGTGTGCTTTTATTTGACAAAGATTAAGACTCAACTCACATGATATAACGAGTCTTTTCTCCCATGTCTACTTCAGTGTAAGGGACTGTCAGAAAGTTACAGGACAAAACAGTAAAGCACCTCCCCCCATTTTCATCTAGTTTAACCTTTTACTTTGGTTATTTTCCACAGGGATACCTGAATAAGAGGACTGTTACTGGTACAGGCCTACAACATGAATACAGGCATTTATTTACTATCCAAAATGACCAGTGAACCTACACAAGTCTTTTCACTTTGTCTACGTAATGCTGATAATTATAAAATAAACCTAAATCCGGAATAAATATGTTTTCTTTGGGGACTATTTTGAATTACGACACACTGCATGTACCTCTCCCATGAATAGATTTTAAAAATACGATTCCAGCCAAAAGCTTAATTCAAAACTATCATAAAATAATCTCTCAGGCATCAGGCAGCGTGTTTGGAACCATTTAATGTAATGTCTTCATGTGAGGTATATTTCACAGCCATTAAACACTTTGGATGTCTGGCTCCTATCACCTCCGCAGTGAACAATCCTGCCTCAGCAAGTTGCACTAGAACACTATGGATAACTTTGTCTATTCCTTAACAATTTAATTATGCAGGAATTTTGGAAATTCTGTGGAATTCCCCTTTAAATATGAGGATATTTTGTACTAAATCCTGTCGAATGACTACAGATTAGCTGTCAGGAACACACAATATTGCACCAATGTGAGGACAACCAGACAGTAGCATAGGACATACAATATTTATTTAGGAACACAAACAATGATAAGTTAATTATCAGGTAGTCCACAAATATTGTGGGAATGGTATCAATACAGTCATACAGGGGAAAACATACATGAAAATCCATTTAGGAACATGTGATCCCAAAAGACAATTTTTGATTAGAAAACTGGTGAAAATGGGAAAAAAAAGTCAAAGACAGATTATTGATAATCAGTTCATGAAATTATTCAGTTGCTTTCATCCTAAAAGAAACAATCAAATTAACATTAAAATATTTTTCTAATTTTATCCTTTTTAAATAAACATACAATAGAAAAGTGGATGAGACCTACCCTGAATTTGAATTTGACATTTGTCATCCTCTCTCACTCGCACTCTCTGTGCTCTCTCTCCCCCTCCCTCCTCTCACTGATGCACCCAGAGGAGGGAAAGAGAGAGACTTCTAAAGAATAAAAATAAAAAATCAGCTTGCAAAACAAGAAGCTCATGTAGAATCCCCCCCAAAAAAGCAAGAAACTACAAAATATGATATATATTTATATATGAATACATCATGCAAAGTGGCAAGTCTGCTTACAAACGTCATATAGTAGTCTGGTTGTGTGTAGTTTTTAGCAGTTGGAGTTTGCCCCTTCCCAGCTAAGAAACAACAGTCTAATTAAAACGTCTCTATGCCAGCTACCCACAAAGAAACTTTTAATAAAATAGTCAACTATAATTTCAAAATGTCTGTTGGTCATTGCAGGGAGCGAAAAAAGAGTCCAGGTGTATCTAGACAGCCTAACAGAGCTTTGACAACATCATTCATTGTGTTACTGCATGAGGAAGAGTAGCAGGGCTGATGCCCAATGTAAAATCCGGCTTTAAAAAATGTTCTGTATTCAACTAGTGAGATTCCCTGATTGGCTGAGGAAAGTCATGTGACCAGTGAGGTACAAAGAGTCCAGAGTCCCAGTATCCAATGTAGAAAAGAAAATGTCCTATCGACTTGCTGTTACTTGTGTGTGTAAACGCCACACACCACACACATGAACGCTTGTGATGAATACTATTCAGTTAAAAAACTGCAATAACATATCTCCAATCCTCATGCAACATCAATTCATGTAATGATCTGAGTACAGAAAAGACACCAGATGAAAAGCTTGAAAGAAAATATGACAAGAGTAGTTGCTGCCTTAGGGAATATGTGTCCATCTTTCACCAAATACCAGAAATAATCCTTGGGCATGACGATCATAGTCCCATTCATATTTATCTATTGAAGAAAAAAAAAATAGGAAAATTCAGTTGCTTTCTTTCTCAGTAATACAATGTGCGTTTCTCTGTTTTTTTCTTATTACCTTTCTGTTGGCTTTTCTCTACCTCACACTTCGGAATTGTCCATGTTGCTTGGTTTATTCTTGGTTGTGTTGCTCTATCCCTCCCATTACCTCTTAAAAGGTGGAAGAGTAAAGCGAGTTCCCCCCCTGCCCCCCTTTCCTGGTACTGTTTCCCCAACCCTCGCCTCACCCCTCCCCTTTCTACCCCCCACCCTGATCCACCCCTGGGGGCCATGCAGTCCAGCTCCTCATCTCTCGGCCTCCATGGCCACGCTGGCCTTCTGTTCGGCGGCTGCTTGTTGGTTGACGGCAGACGGCCAGCCCGGGGGTGGGTGGGCCTGTGTGGCCGGAGACCCCTGAGTCCATAGTCCCTGTTGGCCAGCCATGGGTGGTGTCATGCCCCAGCTGACAGGAGGTGGAGGAGGTGAGGTGGCCATAGAGGCCATGCTAGGGCTGCTGCTGTTGAAGCTTTCTGAGGCCTTGAGGCGGGAGAACATGGTGAGAGCATCGGGGAAGTTCGGGGGAGTTGCGGGCGTGTTTGCTGGAGTACACATCTGTAGGGGCGAAGAGACATGCAGTCAGACAATGGTTTTGTATTTTTTGGGTGCTGCATGACGTCCGGTGTACACCGGCCTTAAGGCTGCCATGATTATTTGACTGATCTGTAGCAATGTCCTTTCATTTTTAAAACTGGATTACAGTTAAAACTGTAGATATTTCTGCAAATTGAAGTTAGCATCATGTAGCTACTGAGTTTCTGTCTATGTTTAAGCATGACTTTGTGTTACTGAACATATTGTTCACATTCATCAACTTTTAGTTCAGGTCAAAAACACAAAACTCCAAAATTCTGAAAAGTAAATTAGACTTTTCGATGATCAAATTAGCTTGCTGCTAACATTATACATTCTTCGTCTGTGCTCTTTATTACATCTGGAACACTTAAGCATGTCTGAACAGAATGCAAAATTATAGACTAGAGGGTGGGGTTACTGTGAAGTACCACTTATAAAGGTACTAGTCTATCCAGGCTGCAGGCTTTTGTTAAAACAACACAACAGCTACAACAGCTATAGTCAAGCATGTAAGCAAGGTATCACTGCAAATATACGTACACACACACACACACACACACATACTGGGTACACATGCCCATCTAATATTTTTTGCATATTGCCTTGAAAATTCAAATAATAAGTTTGTCTGAAATGTCCATGCATCTATGGAATAGGATACCACGAAAAAAGAAAAGACTTTTAAAACAATAATATAAGGAGAAATAAAGGAGTTTTCTTAACCAAGCTGAGAGGGGTGAAACTACAGCACACGACTGTGCTCAGCTCAGCTATCCCTGATGATCACGGCAACATTCCCTCCCTTCCTACACTGTTCCCTCTGTTTGTTTGGACTGATGCTCTGCTAGCGGTACTATTTCCTGTTTCTGAGCTGTGCCCTGGCATGCTCCACCATGACACCACGTGACCCCTCCATTGTCCTCTTTGTTCCGGTTCTCCTCTCGCCACAAATCCCTCACTTACAGAGGTACACAACAGCCCTCATGGGAGCACCCTCACAATCCCACAATGCCTTGGGGCTGTAGAACATCATCATCAGCAGCAGCAGCAAAACAAACATCTACTTGTAGGTCGTTGCGAACGTCTGCTAAGCTGTTTATCGGTGCCAGCGTGCATACAATCACTTTGCTTTCCTCCAGATCCGTTCCAGTCATTGTTCCAGACATAAACGGTGCAAGTAAAAATAGAGACACATTGTGTGATACAGCTTTTTTGCGTTCTTTTGTTTTTTCACCCAGTAAAGTGTGCCTTCTCTGCTAAGGGCACTTGTCATTTGTGCGTTCCTCACACACTTCCTGGTGTCCCCTTACGCTGGCCCTGCATAGCTATGTGAAATGTCTCCATATTATCTTACTGCCAAGACCACATCTGCCTAGCTCAGTCACAGCCGTCACCCTGTGCCCCATCCTGTCAGCAAACTCAGCTCTCTCTGCCCACGGCACTTATCGACCCATCTGAAAGAGTATCGGCCCAAACAACCACAATCACCCCTTTGTTGACGGTCAAAAGTCTCGAATAGACCCCACTGCATGATCCTAAGTGCTATGCTGGATGCTGATTGGCTGGAGATGCATAAAGGAGTCCTGAATTTTTCAAAATCACGAAAATTACCATAATCGTCACTTTCTTGATGGTCAAAAGTCTCAAAAAATATATATAAATAAATAAATAAAGAAAATAAATAAAAATTATATAAAAATATAAAACAACATGATTTCCATGATCCTGAGCACTGTCCTGCATGCTGCTTAGCCAGGGATGCATTAAGGGCTTCAGAAGTTAAACAAGAAACAAAAAAAAACAAAACAAGGCTTCAAATGCCCCCATTTTATAGAGAAGGCAACATTTATTTAAAGCACTCAAATTGGGAACACAATTGTGTCAGCCAACACTGCAGGGAAGAGCTGGAGGTAACAGTTAGTGGCTCAACATAGCCTTCATACGAAGAGCAGAAGTGTATGGGGATCCTCCACTTTTCATATGGAATGAAAGACTCTTCTGAGGTGTGGTGTACATAAACACGCAGCAGCCCACAGCTGTGTTGCTATGGGAATATTTGGGTTGTGAGGATAGAGGACAGATCCCTTGATGAGAAAGGAGGTCAGAAAAAGACAAGGCCCACCGTGTTTGTGCTCCGTTACGGTTTATTAAATCATGTTTGGAAACATCAATCCTGCTCTCACTCCACGCTGCGGTAAACCATACTGTGTCCCAATGGTCTCCTGAACGGCTTTAGTATTGTAGCTTAAGACAAATTACATACATTTCCTGTGAAACCCGAGCTTTCTGCTGTTGATGTTCTGCTGTGGCTGAGTGGACAAGGAATTTGTAAACAAATGCCATCTTACTGCATCATTTTAAAACTGGAGGTCAGTGTGTGTTAACCTGCAACCAAACAAAATCACAGCAGACTCTCAACATTTCTACTGCGTGCAAGTCAAAGGAGCTGGTGTGGGATGTGAGTGTACAGCATCAAGGTCTATGTTTAAAATATCAATAAATGCTGAAATATCATGAAAACTCTTGCCCATATGAAAACTGGTATGTTTTCATATGGGCAAGATATGTATATATATATCTCAACTAGAGCTGGGCAATATGGCCAAAAACGTTATCACGATAAACAAAACGATAAACGTTCGATATCGATACATATCGCGATAAATGTCAAATCATTATTTCTTTCACGCTTGAAGGCTGATTTTGCTCTTGGGTGGTTAATTCTGGTTTTAAACTATCACTTATGGTCGGATCATGACAAACACTCGGCAAACAGTGGAACATTTCACAAATCTGTCTTGGGACAGTGGGAGAAAGTTTCTGAGCTGTTTTTATCAGCTGGAAAAGCAGAGCAGCATTTTTTGTAACAGTCATTATTTAAGTAAGAAAACTATTATTTTTAGCTGTCCGGTGACGAGTGCTTGGCTATCCAGTTACAAATACTAAACAAGTGGCCAACAACAGTGCTAAACTCTTTAGTTTCTCAACAACGTCAAGTCGGTTCAGTAGGTCACTGTCACTCCTACCACATCCATGTCAGAGCATATCACAGTATTCAGACACCAGCTAGCGACGACTGGATTTCTCTATGCTATCGTAGTAGTTTAAGGGGTGAACCGCAAAATATCTGACGTTCGCTGTGTAAAAGCATTATCTGCAGTGTGAATCTCTCGCACCAGTCAGAGTCCTCCTTTTAAGTATATTTAAACTGAAAGCGGTGATTTTGTGTCTTGTTTGATCTGCCGTATCATCAATTCACCGTGTTGTGCCGGAGCGCTGCTTCAATTAGCCAGCAGCTAAAAACAGCTAGCCTGGAAAGATTGCCCTCTCCCGCTCTCCAATGCCTCACAGCTTCCTCAGTTTACTTTCGTTTAAATCAGGGCTGTAACTAACATTAACCCACTTCTTTCTTTCACTTTCATTGCTCAAGAATTCACTAATACTAAAATATGACGGTTTGGCGCTGTAACATGGCGCTGCAGACGTGATTTAACACCGCTGAAGTTGTTAGGATGCATGGAAAGAGGTGAGTTCACCGTAGGACAGTACGTCACTTATCTCGTCACTCGGTCACAGGAGAACAGATCGCCGGTCGCTCCACTCAAACAGGGAATGTATAACTCCACGTTTCAGATGTTGCTAAAGTATATTTGGCGACCTTTTTTTACTCGTGGCCTCCTCCCTCTCTAATCAAGTCGAAAAACTCGGAAGTGCGCCCTCTCCTGGCAACAACAGAGTAGTGTCGCTTTCCTTGCAGTAGAAAACGCCACCAGGGCTTTCGCTAAAACGTGGAAGTGTGAGAATGGTCTATTATATCGAAATTATATCGAACCTGTCTTATCGCTCTATCGAGGAAAAGTTATATCGCGATACTTATCGTTATCGTTTTATCGCCCAGCCCTAATCTCAACCTACTTAAACACAGGGCAAGTCAGAACAAAAGGCAAGATCTTAAACATGCACTGTAATACTAAACATAAGAGCTCATAATTGCATGTTTGCTTGTGGTATGTTTTAGCAGAAGGTGTGTCTTTGAGTTAGAGGTCTGCACCCCACTCCTGTCCACAATCGAATCGTTTGGCGCCGCACAGTTCCGCCAAGGCGAACGGACATCCAATTTTTGACACAGTCTAACTGACAAATGCATTATTCTCTGCTGAAATAACAGAGCAGTCATGGTCATCAGGCTCACTGTGAAATAACGTCACCATAAACCATTTCTTCCCAGTAAACACAAAGCCAGAATTAAACCACAGAATGGTTATGTTTGGTATTTTGCTAGGCTTGGCAGCCGTGGCTGTTAGACTGAAGGCTCCGCCATCTCTGTAAGCTACAAGAAATTTTATGTCATTCATGTGATCGGTTGCTTAGCAACTCTTAGAATGACTTTACTCATTTTAATTGTTTTAATGTTATCATTTTATATTGCTCATGTGTATGATTTAGTGATTGTTCTACTTTAATTAGGCTATTTATTAATTTGCAAGATTTCTCTTAATGCATGGTTACCCACTCAAATCAAGACTGGAGCTTTAGAACACAGATTAGAGTGCAGAATGCTTACGCTTACAAATTGAAAATAACAAACATTAATAAATAAATAAATAAATAAATAAAATAAAAACCACAATGAATTTTACTTATTGATTCCATGCCTGTTATTGAAAATTACTGCTAAAATTGATAAGTGGTTCCAGCATATTCTCTACCTAGACAAAAAATACTTTTGTACTTTTTAAAAAATGTTTTAAATGTTTTCCTTTTTTTTAATGAGGATTAAAAGGAACACAATAAACCTTTGGCATCATCCTGAAAAAAAACTACAAACTACTAAAGGCAGGTTTAAACTAAATGATTTTCCCAAGATAATGCTGTCATAGTCAAAAATCATCTATCATGAAAGAATTTTTTTTGGCATGGATTAAAATCATTTGTCTTGGAACACTTAATGAGACAAAACTCTGACTGTTCAAAATTCT